TTAATCCGCGAGAGTGCTCGGCCCCGGAATGTTGGGTCACGCGATTTGATACGCGGTGTATTTAACCTGCGAGAGTGCTCGGCTTGAGCGTGTTCTGCCTAAGCGTGGTCGGCTATATATATATATATATATATTCTTGAAAATTCTCTTTTTTAAGTTTTGTAGATGAAATTTGAAAATTCATCCTCACAAGTTTTATGAGTGAAACTTGAAAATCCATTATTCAGGTTTTATAGATAAAATATGGAAACCTTTCTCTCACGAGCTTTACTGATAAAACTTGAAAACTTTGTACACGAGTTTTTTTGACAAAATATGGCAAACCTTTCTTCATAAGTTCTTTTGTCAAAATTTAACAAACCATTTTTCATATGACCCCTCCTTTTATTTAAGGCATTAACCTCATTTGCAGGTCGGATACTTTTCATCTTAAAAGTTTTTATTTATTAACTTAACATCATAATCTTAAAAGAGAAAATAAATCTCTAAAATAAATACAATATTTTTAATTCTAAACAATATCTTAAAAATAAATAATATTTTTCTATATTTAAATAATATCTTAAAATTTAAAATTAAAAATTTGAATTACTTTCTTAAAAAAGTAGGTTAGATATAAATAAAAGAGTATATCTTACACTTTTTTGACTGGAAATCGCACTTATAATTCTAATAGTATCGATCTTCATATTTATGGAATGACTTGAAAACTAAATTAAAAAACAAGACAAATAAAAATGAGTTTAAATAACACTACAACAAAATTTATTATTATCGACAATTATTTAATGATAATAAATTAATTTTCTTTATTTTATTATTTAATAAAAGTATTAATGAGTAATATATAATGGTCACTAAAAATGTATTTACATTACACCAAAATTTATTATTAGTGACAATTATTTATTAAGAAAAATTTTAGTCTCACATCGACTAAAAACAAGATAATTAAAGAGTATATAAATGGATGATAACTACCTTACAAGTTTTTTTGTAGGGTTGAGTTAGACCTATAACTTACTATTCTAAGTTAGTATGAGATTACTCACTATTATCAAACTCAATAGTCCCTAAACTTGAGGGGACCGACTATTGATAAGAAAATTAAGAAAAATATATATATAAGTAGAAGACAACCCTGATCTTACAAGTCCCACATCGACTAGAGATAAAGTAATTGAAGAGTATTTGTACTCATCTTACAAGTCTCACATCAACTAGAAAGTAAAAAATGTCACAAAAAGTTATACACTTTTTTTCGGCCATTATAAGGGTTTTTATCAACATTTAGAATAATTGCTACTAAATATTTTAGCGACATTGTATACAATGGTTAATGTGAAAATGTCGGTAAAATATTTTGTAACAATTTTTATTACCACTAAAAGTCATATTAAATGTTACTAAAAGTCTATTTTATTGTAGTGTATGTCCATGCGTCAAATATGATTAAATTTGATTTGGTCCTCTATTTTTTTTGTTGGTTACGATTGTCTCTCTCTTTTTTTTTTTTTTTTGAATGGTCTATATTATAATTTAGTTGTGTGTGACATGTATTTAGTTAATGCAAGAGTTAATGATCATTTTAGTTCTCGAAGTTGAAATATACTATCGCATTAATTACTCTCTGAAACTCATAAGAAAATGTAAAAAAAAAAAAGTAATTGAAAGTTCATATTGGTAATCATATTAGTTAAAAAAATTCAAAAACAAATGTTATTAATATGATAATGCTAATAAAATGACTATATATTAGGACAAAATGATAATAAATAGTTAAGTTTAGAAACTTATTTAATATTTTTATAGTTTCAAGAATCAATATAATAATCCCCTCAAAAAAAAAAAAAGAATCAATATAATAATGGTTATCACTTTCAAAGATTAAAATGACTATTTAGTTATCAAGAGGATATTCATACGCTTAAAATGAGGTGAATTGGGATGTAGAAGAGAAAGATATGAATAAAAGAAAAGACATGTAGAGACTTATTTGATGTTATTTCAGTGTGTCAAAAAGCCTTGTATCACTTATGAGTTGAGATAAAAAAAAACAATTTATAAACACTTTTCTCTTCTTAATCTATAAAGATATCTTTTCAAAAACAAAAATGTAACTGTTTAACAAACATCAAAGTGATTAGGAGATTTGTTTTAATATACCAAAAAGTTCAACATTGCATTAGCAAAATAAATTATACCCTTAGATGCAGTTACCTTAATGATGCAAGGGAAATATTGGACTTAGAAGAGAAGAGTTTTGGAAAACTCTTCTATCAAAAATAAAGAGCTTTTTGCAATAAAAAAAATTTCTAAAATAACACTTCGTACTTGTCTCAAATAGACTTCATAATTGATTCAATTTAGCTAGATAGAGATGGAATAGTAAAATAGATAGTTAAACATGAGTTAGTTAAGCACAATAAAGTTTGTGATATTTCCTAGGTAAAGTATTACAAGGTCAAATGCGATGTGGAAAGCACAGGTTGATTTATTTTTATGATGATCTACGACGACGTCTCAGTCAAGACCTTAACTTATATATATATCAATTAGTTTGTTAGTCGATTAAATTTCAAAGGTTAAAACAAATAAAACAAAGTTCAAAGTGATGCATGTGAGGCATTTTTTGGTCAAATAGGTTACTCACAAGCATCACTTTTGTTACATTTCTAACAAGGGTTCTCATAAAATTCTAATATGTGTGTGGATATTATTTTATGTTCATATATAAACCAATTATGGGTCGATTTTAGAAAGAAAAAAAATAACAATTATGATCGATAGGAAATCAATATTCATTTCATTAATTTTGGTGATTCTATTACTTTGACAATTGAGCAGTGGATATTGCATAACTGGAACGACGAGGAATGTGTGAAAATACTAAATAAATGCAAGGAAGCAATACCTAACCAAGGAAAGATTATTATCATAGACTTGGTGATGGAGAGTAAGAAGGAAGACAAAAAGTTAGTCGAGACACAATTGTTCCTTGATATGCAAATGATGGTGTTTTTCATTGCAAAGGAAAGAAATGAGAAAGAATGGGCCAACTTGATTTCTTCTGCTGGTTTCAGTGACTACAAGATAACTCCTGCTCTGGGTTTAAATTCTATCATCGAGGTTTATCCATAGTGTGTTACCGTTAGACATGTATATGAAAAAGGATTCATGTTATAAATGTTTAAAATAAAATTCCATGATCACTTATAATGTTTCTTTTATGTTTAATTGTATAGTTATATTCATGAGAGAAATGGAACTAATGAAATAAATTGTTAAATCACCACATCTTACATACATAAATCATTTAAATATATTTTTAGTTTCATTTGGGCAAATTCGTTTTTACTTCCTCAAATTTAAATTTGAAACTTTTAATTCTATAATTAAAAAAAAATAGTGTCTCAAGATCACTCGTAAGATCACCAACAACAATAAATTAAGTTAATTATGTAACATTAGTTGGGTAAATGTGATGTATTCATTTACAAAGATACATCACAATTTTTGAGTAAATATTTTTATAGAAAATTCAGTAATAGTTGTGTTTTTCTTTTTAACATATTCACTAATGATATTTGAACAAAAAGACAAAAATAAATAAGGAAAGTTCAAATGAGACAATATGATTTTTATTAATTAGTACATTATTTAATAATTTTATATTAAATATGAATTTTGTCTATCTAACTATTGAATTATAACTTTATATCACTTTGTGTATATCAAATTTTATTAAAATTGGTACATTTCGATGTCATATGCCGTACCCTATAGATCTTTTGCTTTTGTATTAGTGTCTTTAAGTTTTCTCTTAAACTAATTTACTTTGATCGAGAGATAAATAAAGTTTGATTAATGATTATTTTTGTCAAAAATCAAATTTAAACACTATCCAAACGATTCAATTTTAAGTTGAATATATTAAACTCTTATACAATATAGTTTATATTTAGACACAAACACAAGCAATAATCCAATACTTGGTAAAACATTTAAAATATATATATTATATAGTATCCATTTGTTACGCAATTAGTTAATTAGGTCAAGTATAAATCACATATGCAATCTTATACTCATATATATTTTGTATGTATGTTTTCAACATTTGTTTCGAAATTAATACATATGTTATAAAATAATATTCCTTTTTCAACATGTACAAGTTAATTTGTAAAAGTTCTCTCATGTTATATTTTCTAAAAAATATTCTTCTAACATGTACATAAGTTAATTTTTTAAGTCACTACAAGAAATTCGTTATTTTGCGGCGTTTTTTTTTTATATTGCGGCGGTTTTTTTAATTTTCTTCTCTTAATTATAAGCATTTCTAAAGAAAATTATTTATAAAAAAAAAAAAACTAATTAAAAATATAGGTTTGATCTTCCTGAATTATTCTATCATTTTATCATTCTTATCCCTTCTCTCCTCCTTAAATAAATAAATAAATAAAATAAAAATACATTGCTTAACTAGCACTGAAATGCCAACATAAGTTGATAAGTTAAGGACTTGAACTGGAGTTTCACCTTCCTCATATGGGTGTGTTCGAATCCCTCTAATGTCACTTTTCCTACTTGGTGGGAAACCCTCCCCAGGGTGATTCCCTAATCCCTAGGAACTAATTGAGTAGAAATGCTTGTAGTTTGAGCTTGTGTTAGGCCTCGACAATAACCCTCTAGGTGCGTCTCTATAAACAACCCCAACATGTCATTGACATCCTACCCAATAATATTGGAAGTATCTTCTTGCTCTACCAATCTTATCTATCGAAAACAAAAACATCAAAACTTTGTTGCTATCATTTACCAATAACAAGTTAATTAAACCTTAGATCCAACGAGGAGAAGGGGCTTAAAAGTCCTTAAAATTTTGATTGAAATTTAAAAGCATAATTAATGACAAAAATATCATTCAACAAGGAGAAAGATGAGAGTACAAATAATACAAAAAATGATGAAAAACGAAAAAAAAAACACATGGTAGTCAGTCATTTTCATTTAGTCTTATTCCTTCACTCTTAGCATCTTCTCCTTTCTTTGCTCTATGAAAATCTTGTTATTAGCCATCATTTTTCTCCATTTGGCATATATACCTCTCTTTACTTATGTGTTTTCCCTTCCTCATTATGTGTAGAATATAACTTGGTAATTTTCTCAACACTTGGGTAGGTCATTTGGAGGCGGTAATAAAGATTCATTTGGTCCTTTTCCATTGTCCACAACAAAAGCCATCTTCAGTCCCCATGTTGTATGAATTTCCAAATGGCAATGCATAAACCACACACCTAATAAAACATAATATACCATATATAATAACACTAAAAAAATGTGAAATCCAAATCATTTTATCATTGTACAATTTGTTTTAGCATTCAGACTTAAACAGAGTTAAGTTTAACATAAGAGATTAATATCTCATAATGTGGTGGTTAAAGTTTGAATTTTAATTTGTTGATTGAAGTGCTCACATTTAGTACTTAATCATGTATTGAATAATAGAACAAACTTGAAGTTTAGACACAATAGAAAATTGATAACTTTACCTGGATTATCAACCCTAAATCTGATAGCAGTCCATCCTCCAGCTGGGACTCCAACTGTATTTCTCTCCATAGGATCTACAAGGTTAAATTTCTTGGGGTCTTTTGTGGGGTTGAAATTCCCTTGTCCCCTACCAACCACAAAAAAATTGAAGCCATGGAGATGAATAGGATGGTTCTCAGGTGTTATCATTCCAGTATCTTGCAAGACTAATTGAATTGTAGAATTGTAAGCAAGTCTATAGACCCTAGTCCCTTTCATGGTCTTCAAGTTTGATGGTTGTGTCCCTTTGAAGTTATAAACCATAGGAGGGTTTCCTGGAAAATCATCAGTGAAAACCCCCTTAATGTTGAAGAAATGTGCTTGAAGAACAGAAATTTTAGGCATCACAAAGGTGACATTATTGATATCTGCTACCACCCTACTATTATTCACACAAGTAGCACAAGGGTTGATACCAAGGCTTGCTGTGAAAAGCTAAGCAAGCTATGATCAATCTTTAAAGGGACTCTAGCAGGATATATTTTGGAGTTTAGGCTTCTAAGAGAGTCAATGAAAGTAGTGGCAAGTGGGGTGGCATTTTTAGGAGGCATGGAAGTGATGGTTGTGATGGTGGAACCAAGGGTGCCTAAGTAGTGTAAAGTGGCAGTTTGGCAGTCTTATTATCAATTGCAATAGGAACATCCATGAAAGGAGAGGCTGCAACTAGGTATTTTCCAGTTTCATGTTTGGCTGTTAGAAGCACATTTGTGGTCTGGCCTGGTGCTATGACAATGTGTCGATTTTGAAAGGTTTTGTGTAGACTGCATCAACCTCAACAACAGTGAGTTCATGGTTAGCAATTTTAAAGACACTAGTACAAAAATGACTTTTAAAATCGGAGTTTTAAAGTCGGTCATAAGGTAGTCGATTTTAAAAGTGATGTAGTGACAATTTCGTAAATAATGACATTACTTTTAAAATCGGCTGTTGAAGAGCCGATTTTAAAAGTCTACTTTTAAAATCGGCTATTGAACAACCGATTTTAAAAGTGAGACTTTTAAAATCGGCTCTTCAACAGCCAATTTTAAAAGTCTACTTTCAAAATCGGCTCTTCAACAGCCGATTTTAAAAGTCTACTTTTAAAATCAGCTATTGAACAACCGATTTTAAAAGTAGCATCAGAGACTTCATATATGCTATCTCCTCTCTCATTCTCCCCCTAGCTTCATTCTCTACTCTTTAGCTTTTTTAGTTCATATATTCTTCTCATCTGAAGTGTGCAGCTTCTCATTTTTTCAGAAGAATACAACTTTAAAGGTAACATTCTCATTTCATCTCTCTTATTTCGTTGTTGCTGGGCGAATTGAGTCTAGAACGGCCCGAGAACGGCCTGAGAACGGCCCGTTCTACAAGCAGAACGGCCTGTACTGAGTGCAGAACGGGCCGTTCTGCAGGCAGAATGGGCCGTACTGCAAGCAGTACAGGCCATTCTGCCAACGGCCTGTTCTGGGCCCGTTCTGGGGCCTTTCCAGACTAAAGTTCTAATTTAATTTTTTAATTTTAAAGGTTGTCTTAACATTAAAAAAAGTTGATGGGTGTATGATTTAAAAACTGGGTGTAGAAAGCAAGTGGCTTATTTTTATGGGCTATATCTAGCAGGAGGAGCACCAATGAAAAAGTCCATTAGCGTTGTTTTTCTTTGGAGTATGTTTTCATGGTGGGGCAAAGGAAGATGGCATCACCTCTATAATTTAATGTTGTGAACTTACGTTTTGATAAGGTCTGGAGAATGATCATCTAAGATGCTTTCTGTAACGACCCGGCTGGCCACTACACTTCCAACCACCGCACACCGGAAACACTAGACAGAATAGAACGAGTATATAATTATAGGGTCTAGAATATAAATATATACAGAGTTCCAATCTAACTAGAGTTAGAGCGTACAAAAGAAATTATAATCAAATGCTACTATCCCAAGTAGCTACACCTCAAAAAAAAAATCATAGAAACGATCAGCTCTACTGGTCCGCAGAAGACTCATCATCAGACGCCCACCTATCCCTGCTCTGCTCCCATACATAGTATGATCATTGCAGTCCAACATCATGGAGACAACAGAAGGGTAAGCTAGTGCAATTAAAATTCAACATACAAATATGTGTATCCATATATCAATATAATTAACAACAGACACAATTATCAGCACACTTGTACAGCTTATACCACTCAACAATATCAGCACCGCAATGCGGCAATATCAGCACTGCTTAGCAGCAACAACAGCACCACTCCAGTGGCTATAACGGCACCGCAAAGCGGCAACAACAGCACCGCCTTAGCGGTTAGAATCAGCACCACATGTGTGGCTAACAACAGCACCGACTTAGCGACTATAATATCACCCAACTCAGCATAGCTCAGCACAGCACAACACAGCACAACACAACATAACATAACACACAGCACAGCCATTCAACAAAATTATTATTTTCTATAATTCGGCCCAACAGTCTATAATTCCGCTATACTATAAAATTTCTCTTATTAATCCATTGATTCCAGCTCAACAATATTCCTCTAATATAGCTAACATATTTATCTCAGCTTTATCCCCTAGTCATCACAACATATTCATCAAATTCAACTTGGTTCAGCATATAACATCATTGATTAACAATTTCGGCACAAC